GGGGGCGCCGCCTTGTCCCCCTTCTCCTTCTTCTCCGGCGCCGCCGCCTTGTCCCCCTTCTCCTTCTTCTCCGGCGCCGCCGCCTTGTCCCCCTTCTCCTTCTTCTCCGGCGCCGCCGCCTTGTCCCCCTTCTCCTTCTTCTTCGGGGTCGCCGCCTTCGCCTTCTCTTTCTCCCCCTTCCCCTGCTTCTTCGGGGTCGCCCCCTTCTCCCCCATCTCGCTCTTCCCGGGCTCCGGAGCAGAGCCCTTGCCGGACTCGGCGGGGGCGGCGACCTTCTTAGGCCTCCCGGCCCCGCGCTTGGCAGTGGAGCCGGGGCTGGCGCCGGCGGCGGCGGGGACGGGATCCTTCTTAGGCCTCCCAGGCCCGCGCTTGGCAGTGGAGCCGGGGCTGGCACCGGCGGGGACGGGGTCCATCTTAGGTCTGCCGGGCCCGCGCTTGGCAGTGGAGCCGGGGACGACGGCACTCTCCTCACCCTCGGAAGGCACGGAGCTCACCGCGGCGCTCTTCTTCCCGGCCATGCCCGCCTCCCTCCGCCGCCCAAACCCTCGCCGAGAGCTCTGGAGTTCAAAATCTCTCGGGGCCGCGCCGAAGCTTCGCGAACCAACCGAGAAATGGGCGCTCTTTTTTATGTTAGCCACGGCTACGGTTGTTTTCACAAACCAAACCAAAACCCAACGCCTTTTGTGTTCCAAAGCAAACGTCCACAACTCCACATCTCGAACGGGTTTGCCATTTCAAAGGTTTTCCTGCATGTGAACGAAATTTGTAAATCCAAGATTTGTCGCGACTATTCTGACACGTCTGTAGCTTGGCACATGTTTGTCGGTGAGGTCTGACTTTGTTTGCTTTGAGGTTCGAGGGTATTTCTTGGTACCAAATAAATGTCACAGCTAGTTTTTGCCTATTCTGACACGTCTATGGCTCGGTACATGTTTTGTCGGTTGTGCTTATTCAATTGGACGATGCAAGTTCCGACTTTGTGTGCTTTTGGGATCGAGGGTATTTCTTGGTACCAAATAGATGCCCCCGCTAGCTTTGCCTATTTTTGCGGAAGTGTGAAATTATGTGCCTGTTTCATATGCCAGTTAAGCGGACGACGGATCGAGGCTTCTCCGATTATCTAAGGAAAAAGGTTGCTCCCTCCTTTCCAATATAAAGGATCGATAGTTTGGTTGCTATCTTCGAGGGTGATGACATCCTCATATGACTCCATTCACCTTCTCAAGCAAAAACAGCGTACGTATTGCTAGAGAAAGATATGACCAACGATCATCATTGTTTGCCATTAAACATTGGGATAGATATAAAACGCAAACAAAGATAATTGTTTTGCGTAAGAGCCCCAACTTTACTCCGATTTGCAAGGAAAAGGCATGCAACCCAAGGCAATATTAGGAAGGGCAGCACAATGTTTTTACGTGCTCATACATGTCAAACTCAGGTTCATTGGCGTCGGCAGCCATCTTGCCAACCATGAGGCGCCACTCCCACTTATCTGTTGTACGGAATGCAGGAGGGGCTGCGTGTTGTGGTTCGTCTCCCACACTAAGGCAAACCCATTTAGACACTTATAAAAGAGACATAACAATGTTTATAGATATTAAAGTAGTAATTTAAACACTCTTTATATTTCTTTACAGAGGGAGTAGTGTTGAATTAGTATGAACAGTGATGGCACTGTTTGCCCTGCAAAAAAAAACATGAATGTACTGTCTGAATAAAGATCAAGTGTACTACCTTTATTATTAACTCTAACTACTAATGACGGTCAGCCATTTTATTTGGCATACTAACTGCACTGTGCAGTTGTCCTATAGGAAATTACTACACCCTGCCATGCGTACTCCCTCCCTGTAAATATAGCTGTCATTTTCGCCTCTAACATGCAGACCCTACACATGGTCTGCCGTAATAAAATACTACTATCTTCATCTCATAATATAAAAGTGTTTTTAACCGTGTTAAAACCATTTTTATACTATGGGACGAATGAAGTATCAAACTGCAAAAACGTCTTATATTTAGAAAAGGACGGTGAACGAATACGTGCAGATAATCGGATCAAACCGTGTCAGTTGTATTCCTTCGGCCAGCGTTGTGGACTTGTGTGGACGATGGAGCTTGAAGAATGAAGATGAGGGGCACTGGTTCTATGGCAGCTCAGATTTTGGACTCGCGCCGAATCCGGGTTGCATAAATTTCTCATCATCACTTGTTTTCTTCTTTTAGGAAAATTCTAGTGACCAAACTAATATTCAGTTCAATAGGAGTACTCAGGGCCGACCCATAGGCCATGCAAACAGGGCGCCCGCCCTGGGCCCCGGCCCAGGTATTCCTTCTCTGGTGAGTAGAATGGGCAAAGGAATGTACAATGGAAAAAAATGAAGGCCCAAGGAGCCGTGCTATGGAAAACCGACCTGCAAAAGTCACGTCTGTTCGCACTGGATCATCATCGTTCTCGTCTCTTCAGCTTCGTGACTGCTACAACAGTTGATCGTAGCATTAGATATAAACACCAGATCCAGAGACGCAAACAGAGCTATTATTAGTGCGATTAACTCATATTCCAGTTCTGTTTCAATGTAATTTTTTTTCGAAAGTCGTAGTGCAAACATAGAAGCTCATAAGCTAGCCAAGCGCTTGTTGTCTTTAGGTCGGGGGCGCCACCTTTTGTTTGGCCAACCCCATGACCTTGCTTGTATCCCACAATCTGTGATTTTCGATTAATAAAGCTTGGTGATCCTAAAAAAACAAAAAAAAAAGCTCCGCGACTGCTCCGCTTCCCCAAATCCCGACTCGTGAACATCGCCGCCCCTCGCATGCCTGATGCCTCTCCGATTACAAGGACACGGCCGTGATACCTAGGGCGCGAATTCACTCCCCAATGGTCCTCTCCTTCCTTTTCGAATGATCTGGTCACTGCCCATCAACTAGAGTTGGAGAGATCAAGATGGTGTGTGTTCTTGCTTCCCGTAACCTCGTTCCTCAATTCAAAGATTCATTGGTATTAGCCCTGCCCTACGGCACTCACAATTCCACGTTGCACATTGTTCTGCTCTTCATTTGATCCAAATGTGAGAGAGCCCTCCTTGCCCTCAGAAGGTGCAGGGGTCACCGCGGCGTGCTTCTTCCTGGTCATGCCTCTCTCCTCCTCCGACCAGCCACCGCCGCCGCCCAAACCCTCGTCGGGAGCTCTTGAAGCGCGGCTGCTGCGGAGTTAAAAAAAATCATGGCCGCGCGGAGACTTCTGGAAACAAATGGGAGACGGGGGCTTTCGCGCTGGGGTTTTAATGCCTAACAAAGCCCATATCCACCGCACAAATCAGATCCGATGGTTCTCCTTTTCCGAGTACTACTCCTCGCTACAGCTCTGTACTACTTTCACCGCTACTCTGTTTTGGAGGGAAAATGAAAACTTCTGCTCACTTTACCGTCAAAAAAAGGACCACAGCTAAGACCTCAAATTACTGGAGTCAATCTCTAATGGAGAACCAAGTAGAAGCAGATTCAAATAAGTAAGTGAGAATAACATTTTCGGTTTTGTGCTGGATTCCTCTTTTTTTTTGCAAATGACTGACACTATTTTCTGCACTTGTGCATTCTATAGAGAAATTGTATTGCCTAGTTGGATACCTCGGCTTGGCTTACACATATTTGGTTGGCTGAAGTCACAAAGCGGCAAAAGTGTGTGCTTTGCAAAATAAATGTAGAGTGTTCTGCACTTTATGTGTATGGATACTTTTATGATTGAGCCTCTTTCATGGTAACTAAAATTTGCTTGATATCGGCAGTAGTTTAACATTTTTGTTGTTTAAGTTAAAATGTATAGATTGAAATTGTAAAATTATGTGCCCCGATGGCCATTGAAGCGGTGCAGGTCGGCGCTTCAACAATGATCAAAGATAATGAGTTGTTTTTTCTTATATGGATGTCCTGACTTATTTTTTTGTTACTCCTATGAAAAATATAGTTGTCGTTAGCACTAGCGCATTTATACACTGCTTTATTTGAAAACCGCGGATTCCTGAAGGAGCGAGAAGTTGGCATTATCAACACAAATTGTACCAACACGATCCGTAGAAGGACCTCTAACAAATAAAATATTACAAATGGGTCCTTCGATTATGCTCAAAGATCCTTCAATAAGGACCTGGGAAAGTGATCAAGTCCCTATTCCATTGTCCACGTCGTTGAAACGATGGAACTGCCATATCTGGCGAACTTCGCCTTTGCCGTCATGCCTTGAATAACGCTCAACATATTTGCAAGGCGATTTGGGCCTCCAACTTTGGGAGGATGTAAAAAGAGACGAAGGGGTCAACGGCGGGCCACCAAGTGGTCGGCCATCAATCCTCACATGGATGAACGCCTACCCTCTAAGCCCCGTAGACCTCCAGTTTCGGCGCAACAGCTCCCGCACCCCCCGGATCAATAAGATAGACACCGAGGCACCCCTTTCCCCGTGAACCGACGACCTAGGTGCTATGCGCACCTTCGTGGGTGCTGCTTCCTTCCATTGGGAGTTGACTAACCCAATTGAAAGTTAGGTGACTGGTGTCTAACTAAAGTGAAATAATAAATGGGGGAAACCTTGTGCATCGCGAGTTAGTTCAGGATATTGAATCCGGATGGGCAAGATTGAGTCATATGGTTGACATTACTGATGCAGGACTAAAGATGCAAACCACACACCAGAAACTTTCAAATCGATATCTTCTGTGAACTATTGTAACTTTGTAAGATGTCAGGAAGAAGGTGCAGTTCCTTCACCAGATGAATACCGTGTGAGCAGACATGTAAGATTTACATGAATAAGATAGAAGGAGTACCACTATTTTGTAGCTATGTCGTATCCTGCTACTCCTTCTTTCTTGATGCGGATCTTCCACTCGTTTTTTGGAAGCAGGTCCCGTGGAGGACGCTACAACTTTCTTCGGACCCATATGCATGTGCTGAGTTGTTGAGGGTGCTTACGGTCGCCGTCTGTAGGCGGTGGGGGAGCAAATCCGAGGTGACGAACGACGGCGAGCTTCGACGGAATGAGTCTCTCACATAAGAATCCAGAACGCGCTTTCCTGTTATCGCGCCAACGCTAACGTTAAGGATATGGTATTTCTCATGGACTACATAAATGCCAGAGCACATTTGTGTGTGATCTTGAGATCAGGAGGTCCTGCATCATACTTTGCTTGAACCACCGTCGACCAATGATGGAACTACAATTGTCGATAAAATGGCCGACTCAACAATTTGCCGCAGATAAGTCCTAAGCCAACACACCGTTCGGTTATAAGAGCATATTTTCCCGAGGTAGCATGTTCATGACTTACGCAAATTGAAAAAAAACTCATGACGCTCTATGGCTCATAGTATCATTTTCTCCTTCACCGGATGGGACCTCAAAGAGTCCCCAAAACAAAAAGATAGTACAAGTGGCGGCAGCCGGCGACGGCCACCACCAATGTCCGACGTGTTCCTCCGACGTGGCGCCGCCCCATTGGGGCACAGCACGTCACCGCCACCGACGCGGCGGCCCCGCCCACGGGTTCCTCCCGCGGGCCCCCACATGCCAGCCACACGACCCAGGCTCTCTCATCCTTTTTTTTTTTGAGGGAAACCCACGCTCTCTCATCCACTCCGAAGCAAAAGAGAGAGAAAAAAAACCGAGAAAGAGATCGAGACCACGCCGCAGTCCCCCTCCACCCTCCTCCCCCATCCCCGTCGTCGCTCTTCGATTCCGCCGGCGATCCGCGCCAGAGCCCGTCTCCATCTCAGGTAGAGGTGAGTAGTAGAGGGAGCGGGGAGCTAGGGTTTCCGCGCGCGCGCGTGTGTGGGAGGGGAGAGGAGGAGCAGGGATGGCGCAGGCGGTGGAGGAGTGGTACCGGCAGATGCCCATCATCACGCGCTCCTACCTCACCGCCGCCGTCCTCACCACCGTCGGCTGCACCCTCGAGGTACGCACGTCCCCCGTCCCCCTCTCTTCCGGCCCCCTGCGCCCACCCCGGGGGCCGTTCGCGGCGCGATCTGCTGCTTCTGCTGCCGAGTCGAGTCGATGACCTAGTGATTGATTGATTGATTGGTTGGTTGCAGATCATCTCGCCCTACCACCTGTACCTCAACCCCAAGCTGGTGGTGCAGCACTACGAGATCTGGCGCCTCGTCACCAACTTCCTCTACTTCCGCAAGATGGGTATGCCAACGAACCAACGATGCTCGCCTCCTATCCACTCCCTAGTCAAGTCTGCAATGCGTTGTGAAATTCCGTAGCACGGCATGGCGTAGGGCTAGGGTTTGCTGAGGGCTGCGTGGATTCGTTGCTCCCATGCCACTCCATTTGCCACTTGAGGATAAAAGTCTCACCGGCGCGATTCATTTTATGTGCTCCGAGAGTATGGTCTATTGAGTCGGTCAAGCCGCGGCACAGGGAGATATGTTAGAATTGATAGGTTTTGGGTACGTGGCGACAGTCGGCGAAGGCTCGTTCGCTTTACATGCTGCTGAGCTGCTGCCCTCCCTTGTGTTTTGTGGCGCTGTGCATATGGTAATTTGTCGCATTGGAAACGGACACGGCCTGCTTGTTTGTCGTGTTGCGTTGGCTGCCGCATCAAAGTCAGCACAGAACAATAAGCACAGATTTGTGAAGTTAATATTTGCGTGCTTCAAACGGTAATGGAGAATTGGTAACCGATGGCTTGTCTAATATAATATGTTGCCATGAATGAGCAGAATCTAGATTGCGTTGCCGTTGAGTATCCGACATTTAGAGTCGTTATCTCGGATATACGTTACTAATTTGTCTGTGCTCATGCTAAACACAAGTGCTTACATGTTCCTAGCTTGTTGCACGTGTTTGATTCACATGCTCGTCGGCAGCCCTTTACTCTTTGAGACGTATACTTTCTGTTATTATATCATTTATGGGATAAAGTTTATGTATAGCTGTAGCCCTTCACTCTTATTACTGAACCTGGTTACTCTTGTTTCCAGATTTGGATTTCCTGTTCCACATGTTTTTTCTTGCGCGCTACTGCAAACTTCTCGAGGAGAACTCATTCAGGGGAAGAACAGCTGACTTTTTCTACATGCTCTTGTTTGGTGCTACTGTCCTGACTAGCATCGTTCTGATTGGTGGGACAATACCTTACATTTCTGAGACATTCGCCAGGATTCTTTTCCTCAGCAATTCATTGACGTTTATGATGGTATGCGATTAATTTAAAGGATTCAAGCATTTACTATTTCTATAAAAAGTTGCCTATGCTAGGACACATAGTAGAGAAATCCTGTCTTTAAGAATTCTCCTTTTTGGGTGCCGGAGGCAGAACATTAGTAATACCCCTGATATGGCATGGCAGGTTTATGTCTGGAGCAAGCACAATCCCTTCATTCACATGAGCTTCTTGGGTCTGTTCACCTTCACTGCTGCCTACTTACCTTGGGTAAGCGTTGCACCTGTCCACTTGATACTCCTCTAAAAGTACTTATTTGATGACGAGTGTAGGCATGCAAATTGATATTTCTTCATGCCTGAGAATTGATTCACCTGATCCGAGATATGTATATAGGGGAAATCACTACTTAATTGTAATGACTTTGACAAGCTTATGCATATAAAAACTGATATTTTTTCATGCCTGAGTATTGATGCACAAGATCTGAGATCTGTATATCGGGGGAATACATAAGTTATTGTATGACTTGAAAACCCTATCTGGCGGGTACATGTATCGCTTCAGGCTGTTTTATTTTCAAGACAAAACATTTATGAACCTCTTTTCTTTGCCTCCTCGGTTTCGCAGCGTATGTAACTAACTATAGGTTTTGGCTTAGGCCCTGTTTGGTTTCAAATAAGTCACCAACTTATAAGTCGAAAAGTGCAAAAAGTGACTTATTTTGCCAAACAGACCCAACTTATAAGTCACCCCAACTTATAAGTCATAAGTTGCTCCACCCCAACTTAAAACTTATAAGTCACCCCTTTTACGTGGGTCCCATCACCTTTACATTAAAAAACAAGGTGGGAAGGTGTGCTCAGGTGACTTATAAGTCAGATGACAACCAAACAGACGTGACTTATAAGTCACTGATTTTAAGTCACCTGACTTATAAGTCAGGTGACTTATTGGAACCAAACAGGCACTTAAAAGAGGGCCTAGTGCATTGGGAGTAGAGATGAATTTCACGGGAAAGGATCTTTCCTTTACTATGGAATCCTTGCGTTCTAAATGGTGCGAGATGCAAGATAAAGTGAATGAAGTAACATTTTAGTTCATTTAGTCATCATGGAATAAGTCCTGGATAGATCATGTATGAGTAAATAAATACTGGAAGGTGTATGTGAGGTAGCGTGTGATAACTCTGCATTAACGGGCATAGAGAATGTAAAATAGCTAGTTATATTCTGGAAATGGAAGTACCTTAGACTGACCTGTTCCAGCTAGAGAATTGGACTAATCATTGGTCCTATTAACTCCAACCAGGCAAAACCTAGCCATTACTGGGTGACCTGTAAACTGCTGTGTAATATGCACAGTTACAGTAGGAAGACACCTGGCTATCTGTCCATCGTACAGGATGGCATGCCACTGTTGGAAAACATGACAAACTGAATAAACTGCCACATTTTGCTCTGATACTGTTCTCATGTGATCCTTACTTGGTCATCTCATACCATGACTGGCAAAGTTAGTGAATTTTTTATTCATGTTATATTATTTTATCGGAGATGAAAAATAGTGGTCTGAACTGTTTCTTTTAACTTGCAGGTCCTTCTTGGCTTCTCTATTCTGGTGGGGAGCAGCACATGGGTTGATCTTTTGGTGAGTTTTGCTTAACTGATGAATTTCAGAGTAATGGTTGCAGTAGCGATTTTGTTAGTGTTTATGATTTGAACATCTTTTCTGGTCATGTAAGCCATTGATTGCTAACTGACTGAACAATATTTAGGATTAGCTGTTAGTGCTTAGTTCTTCGCGTGGATTTGTAGGAATGTTGACATGTTGTTTATTTGTACCATTTTCTGCTGCAGTAATGTTGCAACCACTCAATATTTCTCTTATCCGCTCTGCCTAAAGGCTGCCATATTTAGGTTTTGTTAGCCAAAGTTTGAGTTTGGTTGCCACTTGCCAGTATAGACGTACCTTCTTTTATCCCATGGTTGTCCAAAACCTGATGATGGTTTTATAACCAGCTAACCGGATGTTACTGGGCAGTTTTGAAAGTTTTAACATGGTTCAAATCTACAGAATGAGCTACTGTTTTATGAATGCCGCTAGCGCTACAAACCTGCAAATCGACCATTAGAGATTGTGGTTGGGATTTTACGCGACTTCATTTTGGTTGATGTAGCAGCTTGTATTGATGCTAAGAAAGTGGATGGCTGCTACTATGCTGGCTGGCTGACTGGCCAGTGTCTTGTCTGACTAGTTTACCTTTCCCACTGCTCACATGTTACTGTCATATTCGTTACAAATAGCTAGCCCCTTTCTCTTAAGTACTCTGTCTTGCGTACCTCCTGATCGTCATTTATTCTTTACTTTTGGACAAATTAATTGAATCATAAATCCGCAGGTATTTGTTTTCTCTTTTGGACGAGTGGCTACGATAGCTCTTAACTTGTAAATCATGTTTCTTTCAGGGTATGATTGCTGGCCATGTGTATTACTTCCTGGAAGACGTGTACCCTCGGATGACCGGTCGGCGTCCCCTGAAGACCCCTTCCTTCATCAAGGCGCTGTTCGCCGACGACAATGTGGTCGTGGCGGCCCGCCCCCCCAACGCCGGTGTCGCGGCTGCAAGGTTCGGTGGTGTGGGTGCAGCAGACCCCCAGTTCCAGTGATGACCGACATGCAGTTTGTTGGATATAATTTTGTACACCCGTGTCCGTGATGATATGTGCAAAATATACACAGTATAATTCTCAGTTAGGGGTTTGGATTTGATGCCAATGCGCTGCTAACAAAAGTGTATGTAGCTGGGCTCCTGAGGCCATTTGTTTGTTGGTTAACTTTGACTTGACGTACTTGTCTCATCTTGCGTGGCGTGGCGTGGCACCTTCGTTAATTAGGCGAAAAAACACGCTGAAAACCAGTCCTTTTTTGGCGTCCCCATAATTGCGTTGTTGTGCTTAGGTTATGAGGGTTCTTGGCCACATGGATAGTTCAATGTGCTCATTAGCGCCTGACCAGACGTGGATCATCCAAGGCACATTAGCATGGCATACTCCTGTTTGAATCGGAATTCGAAAACAAACTTCTTCTCAGGAGGATAGATAGGGTGATTTAGGTGAGATCCTATGTAGGTGTGTGTGTGTTTGGGGGGGGGGGGCTTGAATTCCAACTCAAAATGCTGATTAAATACGAGGCACAAGAAATTGGAAATGTGGAAACATAAAAAAAAAGACATGGAACAAATTTCTAAGCATTGCTTCTACTAGTAGTAAAATATCGAAGGAGAAACATTTGAGGGTCTCTTTGATTTGCATGATTCTCAAAACGTAGGAATATGAAAAATATAGGATTGAAGTGGCATGTTTGCTTCAATTCTATAGGATTAGCAGAGTTGTGTTTGATGGCATAAGTAAAACAAATAAATTGTGAACATAAGTAAAGCAAATAAATTGTAAGAAGATACTGAAGTGGATGCTAGATTTTCTATAAAATATAGCAAGCAAAATTCTTATATGATTCATTTCTACAAATCAAACAACCAACTTAAGAAAAAATCCTAAGGACAAAAAATCCTATAGAATTCACTTAAATCAAAGGAGCCCTAGTTACAAAAAAAAAAAGAACAACACAAAAATAGAGTGTCATTCCATTTTCAATACTACGTAATTTGTGCGTGAGTTTGATTGTGCCTAGGAAAATCGTAAGACTCTACACATAAGATTGGGGTTGATAAAATTTTCCTAAGAAGAACCTCCATCCTATATTAGTTTTGCTCAACGGATGCATTTATCACTGAAATACGTCTAGAAGGGAATAGTATAAATGAGTAAAAATTCGTATGAATTGTAATCCTACGGATCAAACAACCCATATAGGAATGATCAGAATCCTCCAATATTCCTTCGAAAATCCTTTGAACCAAAGCAGGCCTAAAATTTGGTCGTTCAGACCAAATTCAAATTCCCAAAAGTTTAAAAGCCACAGTTACTGAGGCATCGTCGTCAAGCTTGGGCCCTCCTCCGCTCGAACACCGAACGGAGCGATGGACTCCCGCCACCAGCGGCTGGCGACGCTGACCAAGGCCCTGACCGCGCACGTCAACGCCGGCCGCCACCGCGAAGCGCTCGCCTTCTTCGCCCGCATGGCCTCCGACCCGGCGCTCCCGCCGCTCGCCGACCCGTCCTTCGCGTACGCCCTCCCGCTCGCGCTCAAGTCCGCCGCCGCGCTCCGCCTCCCCTCCTCCTCCGCCGCCGCGCCCATCCACGCCCTCGCGCGCAAGTGCAGCGGCCTCCTCAGCAACCCCTTCGTCGCCTCCGCACTCGTCGCCTCCTACGGCACCGGCTCCTCCGCCGAGGCCGCGCGCCGCCTGTTCGATGAATTGCCCGGCCGCACCGCCGTCGTCTGGAGCGCCATGATCTCCGTCTACGTCCGGTCGGGGGACGTCTCGGCGGCCGCGCGGGCTCTCGGCGATATGGATGTTGTGCCGACCGCCTCCTGCTTCAACTCGGTGATCGCGGCGGTGGTGGAGTCTGGGGAGCACCCTGCCCGGGCCGTCGAGCTCTACCGGCAGATGCAGGGGATGGGCATCAAGCCCTCGCTCATCACCCTGCTGGCGCTTGTCCGCGTGTGCACGGGGCTGGGCGCGCTGAGCTCGGTCAGGGAGGTGCACGGCTTCGCGGTGCGGCACGGCATGTTTGTGAGCTGCCATCTCGGCAGCTCCCTCGTCGAGGCGTACGGGCGGTGTGGCTCTTTGGTCGGCGCGCAGAGGGTTTTTGAACTGGCGGAGGAGCGCGACGTGGTTGTCTGGAGCTCCATGGTGTCGGCGTACGCGTTCCATGGCCATGGAGACGTTGCGGTGTCGCTTTTCAGGCGTATGGAGCTGGAGAAGGTCCGGCCTGATGGCATCATGTTCCTCGGCGTGTTGAAGGCCTGCGGCCATGCTGGTCGCGCAGATGACGCCTTGAAGTATTTCGATGTGTTAACCAAGACATATGGAGTGGAAGCATGCGGAGATCATTATTCGTGCTTGGTTGATGTCTTGGGACGGGCAGGGAGGTTGCATCAGGCCTATGATGTTATACGGACGATGCCGGTTAGAGTTACCGCAAAGGCCTGGGGTGCTCTCCTTGCTGCTTGCAGGAAGTATGGGGAGGTGGGGCTGGCAGAAGTTGCAGCGAGAGCGTTGTTTGAGATTGAACCAGAGAATGCAGGGAACTTTATTTCGCTTGCAAATATCTATTCGGGCTTGGGTATGCATGAGGAGGCAGAGCGGGTGAGAAGGGACATGGAGCAACAAGGCTTGCAGAGCTCACCTGGAAGCAGTTGGACGATACACCGCAAGTCAAGGTATCAGTGACTTGACCATGTCCAATAAATTCGTTTTTCCGCCACTTCCTTGTCTGTACCAGCCAAGCTTCTATGTTTGTTTTTTTACAGTTTTGGTCTTAGTCAAATCATGAATGGACTGACTTATTTGTTTGCTGCAGTGAACTTGTCTGAAGAAGGAGGCTCACATCTGGGAAATTTCATCACTCAGAACAAAATTTATTCGGATACACAATTTCTGTGTCCATGAAAATGTAAGCGGGATATGCCAATATCTCCTTTTTGGCCACTACCTTTAGTTAATAGCAGCTGGAAAATATTTAATTGTACCAGAGCCCTAACCCTACATCTATCAGAATGTGCTGCATTTGAACCTGAACTGATTTTTAAATGCAGCAGAAACTTTTCTGTGGCTTAATGCTTAGCTGTAAATCCTGCATAAGCATCAAATTTTCTGCTGGGCATGCTGGAAAGAAGCCTTAGAAGCCATGTCATTATCAAAGTTCAATCCTAGCACTGATCTTATTACCATCTTATTTACACATTTTGTACTTCAGTTCTATGTCTCAATCTGACACTGCATGAATTTATATTCTTGAAATATAATCATAAAACTTTGTGCTATCAGTAAAAAAAAACTTTTATCGATGTTAAACAGCACAGTTTCCTTCTCGCCAAAAAGCATTTCCATCAACATACATTGAAATTCCAGTCAAAGGACTATAGAGGAAACAGAACTACTCCCTCCGTTCCAAATTACTCGTCGTGGTTTTAGTTCAAATTTGAATTAAAACCACGACGAGTAATTTGGAACGGAGGGAGTATATATATACCGTTTCTTATTCTTACAAGTATATCAGCAAAGCAGTAGGTATTTGCAACTGTCTAATGCCACTCTGCTCTAAATTGCTATGCACATTGCTGTCCACAATCCACATTGCTGTCAGTGGATATTAACTTTACTGAGGTTAATTGCATCTGTGCACTGAACTCACTGTGATTCTTTATCTGAAGCTAAACTAATATATCTTATGTCAGTTTCTACGGACTGAGGAACTATCTTTAGCTTTCCAACGAGACTTCTACTAGCCTTTTGCTGTTAGTGCATATGATGCTAATGTTGGTGCTACTTTACCAAAGGCACATCTTACTAGAAAACTGTTATAAAAAATGCTAGTCAAATAGGTGCAGCGGGCAAGATCCCTGATATCTTTCCTTTACCTTTCAACCACATCTAGTATTCAAAATAGATCATTGTAGGGATATACATAATGCATCCACATTGTACTTCTCGTTTGATCAGTCAGTTCAGTTTGTGGTTTGAAGATAGCAAGTCATAATAGTGCCATGGACCGTAGTACTATTTAGCTTAAGCTAGCTTTGTGTTGATGCCAAATAATAAAATTGAAATGTTCATCTGCAGAAGGGATATTGTAATTTCTAAAGGGAGGTTTTACCTTAATTGTCAACGTCTTATGTATTTGGTGTCAATCAGTTCACTGCACTTGCTGTTCCACATATTGGCGGCAGCATGGAAGTTTAACACAGAAACCTATTCTTTTTCTCTTACATATTCAAACTATGCTAGCTGTTACAAGCATGAAATGAAATTAGAAAAAAATAACAACTATAATACCACATTTTTACTTTAAATATGAAATAATATCTACAATTTTAAATATCTTATGGAAAATGTACGACCCAATTTGTCTTTTGGCATTTGGAATCCAGCTAAAGGCTACCAGATAATATATCCAGTACCCGCTTTCCTGAAACATGATTTGTAGTGCATGATACCTTCCCTATGTTCTGTAGTAGCCTGGAAGGACACTTACCTAACATTCTACCTGATAGGTCCCTCTCAAATAGCTATGTTGTAGCTGGCCAAGCAGGCATCACTATTGTTAGTGATGCATGCTAGGTCCCGTTACAGATGGCTTATTGGCTGATGTGTAAGTGATTCTGTCAACCTAATTTCTCCAACACATGTTGTTTGCCTTCTGCACTAGCTAGCTTGCAATTGTAACGCTTTCTAAGGATATTTAGCTTCAACACATGCAATTCTTTCGTTTTTTCTTCATAAATTGACCTGTAATCTGTCAAATCATACATGCGTTGTGATGGCACTACCCACAACCAGTTTTAACCACTGGACAGTACTCCCTCTCATTGCAGTATGTTTGTTTTGACCAGTAAACTTGCCCCTTTTCATCAGTATTTCTGTACCAATCTCCTTGATCCGCTTCTACAAATATCTGGAGTGCGTGTGTTTGCTGACTCTATACCAGTCCATGAACTATTGAAGGAATAACATTCACTGCAGGAAGGGAGCACACTGACATTGAATGAAAATTTGGCCGACAGGAGGAAGTGCGGCCATAAGAGGGTATCCATTGTTACTTTTGCAGGTGGGAGCCTCCAAGTGGAGAACAGGTAAATGAGAGAGCTCATGCAACTCATCTTTCGTCATCAGTTGAGGCTAGGTAGGAAACATATATATCACCAGACATTGGCTGCTTAAGATAATACAAACGTTCTTGATACATCTTCCTGGTTAGGAAATGATACCATCGAGAGCAAATTACTTCGTGCTGATCTATTTGTTAGGTAAGATAAGATTACTTCTCTTTTGCTTCCTCCACTCGGTTTCTTTGATAGAGTTTTGAAATTACTGAACGCTTTGAAAAGCATGACTCATGGCAGTCCTCGAAGATAGAAAAGCTGGCTGATGGCACCTCATTGACTAATTGACTAGTGGTACATAGTAGCCTTCAGCGGTTCAACTAATTTGCCTTATTTGGGCGTAGCTTCCAGGCTTGGCAAGGCTATATAGCTAGCAGTCACAATATTTTTTATAGTAGCATCCACATTTTGTTGAAAATAACTTTGCATCTGTACCGTCCGTACAAATTTGTGGATTTCGTCAAGGATACTCAAGCTATATTGGCACTTTATCTTTGGAAAAGCATATTACTTTTCAAAAGGCAAATGATGATGCACACTGAGATAAAGTGCTGCATGTTCATCCCACCTGTTGCATGTCCACTGTTAATATGACCTAAATTTGTGGGTCCCTCCACCCCCAACTCAATTACAATCATTATTTGCAATTAGTTTGTTCAAAAACTAACATATATATATATTGATCTTAGTAACTCATGAAGTCCTAACTCCCTATCTTAACTCACAAAACCCGCATATGGAGTGTCGCATCGCCAGGCTGCTACCTTTGTTTTTAAGCTGAACTTGTTACCTGCTATACCTTTTGAATTCAGAAGCTCATGCACTCCATTTCATTTCACTTCGTTTCCTGTAAATCTATTCATCATACTTTACCTAATAAACATTTGCTTGTGGAGAGACATACCTATAATTTCTATCCCAGTGTATATTCGCCACCTTTCGTCCCACCTTCTAAAGCCATATATTTAGGCGATTTAAGCAGCTTCTTTTTGTTGGAAAAGGTAGGCGGTGAGATCAGCATCGAGCACTAGCGGCCACCAGCAGATGCATGTGGACCACAGCACCATCATCATCCAGTACCACGGACGGATGGCTGGCCGTGCAAGTCAGTCCACTTCGTACGACGCAAGGTGACTTTTCAGGTATAAGTAGCCAGTGTCCTTAGCTTGCAAGCCTGGGCTCTTAACCGAGTAGCAGGCAGGACTGACTCAAGTACCAGAAGGCCACCTGATGGGTATGAATATGCCACAAGGTCTCACGCCTGCTCCTGCATCCATGACCATCCCGATGGCGCATTCCTCACGGCCGACGTTGGGGTTCCCCCTCGGCACGGCGCTCCTGCTCCTCGTCATCTTCTCCCTCAGCGGCATCTTCTCGTGCTGCTATCACTGGGACAGGCTCCGCTCCCTCCTCTGGTCTCGGCATCCCGGCATGCTCCAGGAAGGCCCACACACCGTCATCTCAATTGGATCGGCGCCGAGCAAGGCTGCCTCCGAGCACAAGGTAGCAGCAGCAAGCGATATATCTGTTTAAAACTTATTTTCAGTTTTGACACCGTTCTGGAATATCATCTATCTCTTGCAAACCTCAGCTGATGATTAGTGGCCCTGTGCCTCCTTGTTTGCAGAGCGAGAAAGCAGGAAAGGAGTGCGGGTTGCCCGTGATCATGCCAGGGGATAACATCGCGAAGTTCTACGCGAGGCCCTGCCCGCACGAGGCGTGTTTAGCTGCAGCAGCAGCAGAGAAGGGCGAAGTCGAGGTGCAAGTCAGATGTTCAGTTTCGTGAGACCGTCAGTATCTGTATATGAAATCGTAGTTAGGTGCTAGCGACTTATGATTGATAGATAGATTGTATATACGCGAGCGACTTATGATTGATGGATTGATTGTGTACTAGCATGCATTTTGACAGTTTTTCAGAAAAGAGGGGGGAAAATGAGAACCTTTCATGTGCAGATATGCAACCCGAATAGTCCAGAAAAGGCGATTTTGGTGTCAACAAACTAGCTGAATATTTATTTTTCTTGTCATGGAACTTGTTGAATGCTATGAAATTTGGGATCTTTCTGTTAAGGGGGGTGGATGTCATTTCAGGAAAACCAAGAACAGTTCATAGTAGCTTCTTTTTGAAATTATCAGGGAATTTGTTGGTGTCTGTTCTTTCTGTGAGGTTTTTGAAAAGGAAAAAGAGAGTAAATTAGATTGCTGCTCAACCAAATAGCGTCTGTTTTTTCTGTCATGTGGTGCCCCACCATACGTAGTACTCCCTTCGTTCCGAAATGTAGGTCTTTGTAGATATTCCACTATCAACTACATACGGATGTATATAGATGCATTTTAAATGTAGATCCATTCATTTTGCTCCGTATGTAGTCCATCTAGTGAAATCTCTATAAAGACTTATACTTTAGGAACGGAGGGAGTACGTACGTCGTCATGCCCACTGAAGAACAGAAGTACAATGACATAATCTGGCATATATATATGCACGATGGAATTGGATGGGGACATGGTCCTAACATTCATACCGGCTGGGAATTGTGATGAGTGCAGGATTAATTAAGTCCGCCCATGACATAGTCTCATCCGTCCTTAGGCACGAATACAACAAAGGGCGTGTTTGGTTGATCAAAATTATTATTAAGAGGTACCTCTTGTAAAGGTCATTTTCATCTCCTCTGGTGGTGACAAGTGGAACGCATGTGTGTCAC